TAAAAATAAATGGTGGTCGGGGAGGTGTGCCTCGCTAAGGTGACACTTGAGCAGAGAGCTGAGAGAGGGTGGAAGCTCTCAATGTGGAGGGAAGAGTGTTTCAGGCAGTGGGAACAGCCAGTGCAAAGGCACTGAGGTTAGAGGGTGTTTGAATGACTGTAGTAAGGTGTGAAAGGACACAGCTGTATATCATGGGCTTACATCCTCCCAGGCCAGTGGCCCCAAAAGAAAGAACTTTCAGATGATCAGAAGCAAATCCCAAATCTGCCTCTCCTTTGGCCCATTTTAGTGCAAGGTCATCTCTGAACCAGTCACTGGACCAGAGGAGCTGTGGGGTTCATGGGCCAGACCCAGGTGGAGGCTGGGAGGCAGGAACAAAGTGGAGAGGAGGTTCCCCAAAGGCAAGTCTTGGTTCTCAGAACGAGGAAGCCCAGCAGGCAAGTCATAGGTAGCTACTCTGTGGGATGAGAGAGCAAGAGCTAGGGGCAGCAGTGAGGGTCCTGGCAGGTGAGAATGACGACCTGAAGATGGTTGGGGTCCCACACGTGGCCCAAATGATAGCATCACTGTGTGTGGCTGTGTATTTTTTTCCCCACAGGTCTCAACTTCCTGGGGCTCAAATGATGTGGCCAAAACCTAGCTTCACTTTCACTCCTTTTTTTTCTTTTAATTTCTTAAAATTGTCATAAAATACACATAAAACTTATCACTTTAACCATTTTTGAGTGTACAGTTTAGTGGTATTAAGCACATTCACACTATTGTGCAACCATCACCACCATCCATCTCCAGAACTCTTTCATCTCCTTCAACTTAAACTGTCCTCATTAAACAACTCCTCATTTCCCTTCCCAGGCACCTACCACTCTACTTCCTGGCTCGATGGATTTGATTCCTCTAGTAACCTCCTATAAGTGGAATCATACAGCTGTGACTGGTTTATTTCACTTAGTGTAATGCCAGCAAGGTTCATCCATGTTGCCACATGTGCCAGGATTTCCTTTATTTATTTTTTTAGCTGAGCCATCCTGCCACCTGTTGGCAGCTCAGCTCAGGCCGGGATTCCAGCCGGCGACCCTGTTGCTGAGATCGCACTCTTGAGTGAGCTCTTAACTGAGCCACTCGGCTGGCTGTCCTTCCTTTTAAGGCTGAATAACATTCCATTGTATGAGTATACTTTTTTATTCATTCACCCATTGATGGGCACTTGGATTGCTTCTACTTTTTAGCTATTGTGAATAATGCTATGAACATGGGAATGCAAATATCTCTTCCAGACCCTGTTTTCAGTTGCTGGGTCATGTGGTAATTCCATGTTTAATTTTTTTTGAGGAAACACCATACCATTTCTCACTCCATCTTTTGGTTTAGTTTTCTTCCAAGCTGGTTTCATTCTTTAAGATTTTTATTGGGGAATTGGGGGGGATGGGAACAGTGCTGGGGAATTGGGGGAAGGGGAACAGACAAGTTGCTGTCATTTTTTGTTTTTCAGTCTAGTTGTGGAGGACGTTGCTTCACTGGCCCAAGTTGGCACCATCATTGCTATCTTCCCGGGCAAGGCAGTCGCCGGCCTCTGGATGGCCGCTCATGCTGGCTGCCGGCCACACATGGCAGCCCATGGCAACCCACTGCCACAGGGGCTGCAGCCTACGCTGTCGCCAGCGACTCCCAGCAGCCCAGCTTCAGGTTGAGCTGTTGTTCAGCATCTTAGCTGTGGAGGGCAGTGTCACTGGCCCTCATATGTGGGATCCGAACCAGGGCCCTCTGGCGTCCCAAGCCAGTTCTTTTTTTTTAAATTTTTTTTTAAAGATTTTTATTGGGAAATTGGGGGGATGGGAACAGTGCTGGGGAATTGGGGGAAGGGGAACAGACAAGTTGCTGTCATTTTTTGTTTTTCAGTCTAGTTGTGGAGGACGTTGCTTCACTGGCCCAAGTTGGCACCATCATTGCTATCTTCCCGGGCAAGGCAGTCGCCGGCCTCTGGATGGCCGCTCATGCTGGCTGCCGGCCACACATGGCAGCCCATGGCAACCCACTGCCACAGGGGCTGCAGCCTACGCCGTCGCCGGCAACTCATGGCAGCCCAGCTCCAGGTTGAGCTGTTGTTCAGCATCTTAGCTGTGGAGGGCAGTGTCACTGGCCCTCATATGTGGGATCCGAACCGGGGCCCTCTGGCATCCCAAGCCAGTTCTTAACCATCGCGCCACTCGGCCGGCCCCAGGCTGGTTTCATTCTTTGTCAAGTTATTTCATCAAGGTATACCCTCTTATCCCCCTAACCACATCTTATATTTCTCTGGCTTCAAGACCAGGGAAACAGGGCTTCTCTTGCCCGAAAGTCCCAGGCCTGGTGCTCACTGGCTCTGACTGACCTGATTTGTCACTACTAAGCTAATCACTGTGGCCAGGTCATGGGCCTAGCTTTGGAGTCAGGCAGTGGGGACCTGCCAACGAACTACATATTTAGCAAGCTAGAGGGGTGGTTCCCCAAAACACTGTGGTCAACACAGGTCTACTCTACTAAGAGGGTGGGAAGGCAGCTGGCATTGCTCAGAAAGCTTTCAAGGGGAGGAGTTCTTGGGTGTGATCAAAGGAGTTGCGGGGAGGGCTGAAGTGGTAGAAATCTCTGAAGACAATGAGTGGAAGATGTTCAAGGACATCCAAGTCCTGAGGATGGCAGAAGCTGTTTAGATAGAGGGACTGAAAAAGGAGGGGACAAACCTTAATCTTCAACCAACATAGAGGAAGGTGTAATAGGGAGCAGAGAGTTATAGCTAGATGACATAGGAAGAGGAGGGTTATAGCTAGATGACAGGGGGTGTCAGTTAAGGCAAGGGGGAGAGAGAATTGTACATGCAGGGACTGTTAACTATGTTGTAATGGAAAGGCAAAGGTAGGAGGCTGGGTTAGGGTGGAGATACAGGGACGAGGACAGCTAGCGTCTTAGGTTTCCAACTTGTATGATGACCAAGGAGAGAACACAGACAAGAAGCATGATAAATGCAATTGTCAGGTTGGGCTGAAAACCTCTTATCCAGCAGCTCCTTGTGAGTGAGGTAGGGGTAGGCCCAGATAGATTGCACTTTTAAGGGAGTTTTGGTTTCCTCCACTTTAACTACAACCCAGTGGATCTTCTGGATTTGATGGACCATAAGTCCAGTAGGTGACAATCACAACCATTAACTCTCTCCAGGCTGGTTACTCTAGCAAAGCTTTGAGGTTGAAAAACTCCATATCTGTCCAGGGCTCCTCCATGAAGATTGTGGTTTGATCCAAAGTCTGCTTGAAATCAGGATCCTACCTGCCCCTTACTGTGCTTGTTGCCTCTTTGATATGGGCTGCCTTACAGGGATAAGATCCTCAAAAGCAAGTTCCTCATAAATGTAACTGTGGGCCCTTCCCAAGAAAGGTCCTGGACTTGGGAGTCAGAAAACTAGAAACCTTCCCTGTTCTGCCACTTGGTAGCGCTGTTAGCCTAGTCAAAGTGCTTCTGAGCCTGTTCACTCGGGTCAGAGACACTGCTGATCTCTACCTTTAATATTAAAGTAAGTTATCACCTTTATTATTGAACTAGCTAAACTTACTTTATTCAAGTGTCTGAATACATGTGCCATTAATTTTACCAAACTTTACTTGAATTTCAAGCTCTGTTTAAGAAAGGTCTCCAAGTTAGGAAAGGAAGGAAGATGCAGAATGTCTATCATTTATGTAAAAAACAGCAGTAAAAATACAATTAAGCATCTCTGGGAGTTAAACATTTCCGGAGAGGCAAAAAACTTTACAATGGCTGCCAAGGAGTGTCTGGGGGAGGAAGACTAATTTTGTTTTCTCACACCCTTTTATATCATGTGAATAGATTATCGGTTCAAAATCCTAACTAAAGTGTAAATAAAAAAGCAGGTACAGCATACACCCATTTCTGTAATAATATTTTTACACCTTTTTAAATAATAGCTATCATTTTGGGACACTTGTTCTGCACAAAGAATTTTGTTAAGTGCTTTTTAGAAAAATAATCATTTTGTAGATAAGGAAACGGACGGAGGCTTAGGCCTTGGTTACGCCGGGCGATTCAAACATAGGGCAGACAAATTAGCTTCACCGTCCCTACGTTTTTGCTAGGAAGACCCTCTAGTAGGCTGTAAGTCTTCAACGACTTCTCATCTCCTTCAGGAAGAAAACCTTTACAACAACTCTTTGTTCCGGATTTCGGCAGCGTCTGAACCACAACCTCGCACTTGTCTACTAGCCTAGCAACGTCTGTCGAACGCCAGCCAAATCCTGACACTGGAGGGGGCCGGGGCTTAGTTTAGGCACAAACTGTATACATCAGGGATCTCACAAGACGTCCGAGAGGATTCACCGACACGAGGCTGGTAAAGAAAAGGTGCTCGGTCTATAGGACCTTTACTAATGAGACCCAAGCTGTTGGCCGAGGGTTTGAGTCGCAACACCGGTTCTCCCACGAAGGGGCCGTGAATCCTTGAGTCAGGTCTCCTTCTTGACTGGGCCTCAGTTTCGCCATCTGTGAAACTGGATGGAAGATTAGACCAGATCGGCTCTGACTTTCGGAGGCTCCAGGTCCGGCAGTTCCACTCACTGGCACCTCCACTCTTCACCTATCGAGGGTAAAGAGGGGAGTGGGTTGGCAGCTCCGGGGGGCGGCCTCCTTTCGAGGCCACACCTCCTCGACCGAGATCCGGCCACTAGGAGGACGCTAACTGGAGACCTCTCAGAGTCATTTCCGCCAACGTACTCATGGCGACAGGTGTGAGATGGCAGCCGCGCAGGCGCGTAAACTGGTAGCTGCAGGAGGCTCCTCCCTTTGCCCCGCGTCACGTGATAACGACGTCTTAAAACCACCCTTAAAAAAAAAAAAAAAACCCTACGTTGTCACAAGATACAGGCCGACCAATACGGCAAAGGCGAGAGAAAAGTCCTTGTCACGTGGCGCAGGAGGACTCTAAATTGGCCACTGCCACATGATCAAGCAAGGCTTCGAAACAGACGTTTCGACACCACGTGACAAGCTAAGCAACGTCTACGCTCCTGTCACGTGACTAGAGCCCAGCTCCTTCTTCTTTTCGTTCCTGCCTCCGTCGTCGGCTGGCCTGCGTCGAGCGACAACGCGACGGCGAGGGGGCGGGGCTCCGGCCGGTCACGTGGCCCCGCACCTCCCCGGCGCGCGCCCGCCCGCCCGCTCGCCCCCGGCCCCGGCTCCTCCTCCTCCTCTTCTCGCCATTGCAGTTGGACTCAGCAGCCCGGTGCGCACCGCGTGGCTTTTGGGGGCAGACCCCAGCGGGCTGTGGCAGGAGGGCGGCGGCGGCTGCAGTCGGGGAAGAGGACGCCAACAAGGTAAGCTCCAATGTGGCGGTGGCTGGGCCTGCTCCCGCCTTTGCCCCTCCCCCCTCCCGTCCTCCCACTCAGCGCGGTCCCAGCTGAGGTGTCGTGGTGAACAAGGCCGGAGGAGCCCCGCGCTCCTCGTCTCCGCCCGGTCCCTTCGCACCAGCATCTGGTTCATTCCTCCCTCGCCAGCCTCGCTCCCGCGCTCGGCCGTTACTCTCTCCCATTGTGCCGAGGAAACAAAATGGCGGCATCGGCGGCGAGGACCCGGTGCGCGCGCATCCGTCCCCCCCTCGCGGCCCCTCGTCCGGCGGCAGCGCCTCGCGCTGGGGGTGCGCGCGCACCGGGCCCCCAGCCGCAGCTTCCCCCAGTCGGGCTTTGTCTGTGGTGGCGCCCCGCGTGCGCGCGCGCACGTGCTGGGAGCACACACCCCCCTCGGGCCTGGAGCATCCAGGCCCGCGCGACAGGGGCGACCCCTCCTCCTCACCCCCTCTTCCTCTTTGTCCCACTCCCGCCCCGTGTTCCAGGAGGGTCCCAGGTTCCGGAGGCGGGAAACGTGGTCGCCTTTGTCTTTACATGGCGCGGAGAGGCGGGCTCCCTCTCTGGAGCCCTGTCCCTACGCGGATTATAGAGGAGGACTTTCTGGGTTCATGGGGTCCCCAAATCTCTGGTCAGCCAGGCCTCCCCTATATCAGGATCTAAACCTGGGGGAGGGCGTTTCATTGATGCTGAGCTTTTTTTCATATTGCTTAGGATTTGCATCCTCCCCCAAAATAGTGATACAGTGCGGTATTTGGGTGCACTGTAATCTGCAAGTTTGGGACCCAAACACGAGTGCTAAAAACCCTCTTCTACCTTACTTCCTTAAGTAGTTGAACGACTGAGATTCTTGGGGTTACTTTTGAGTTTGTGCCTGGGTTAATCCCCCACCTGGATGAATTATTTGGGGTGTACAATGACAAGCATGCTCGCTCCCAGCTCAGTGTCTAAACTTGGGGAGAGTAAACCATGTCTTCTCAGTATTTTCAAAATTTATTTCAAGTTGCTTGGGATTTTGCTTAGTGAACATTAATTTCTGTGATAAGCCTCCCTTTTCTAGATTCACGTATTTCAGATTGTAAATCTGTATTTCTGATGGCTTAGGAGTCTTTCCTCTTTACGAGTGGTCATGGGAAAACACAAGGTGTCACCTGAAGTTAGGACTCAAATTTAGTCTCTCTTTTCCTCAGGTGTCTGGTTGGGAATCTTCACGGATTGCTTACAGTGCTGCCACTGTGCTTTGTATGTGATGCTTTGTGTGTGGTCTCGTGGGATGTACAGACAGCAGCCGCTCAGGCTGTGAATAAAGTGTGGGAACCAGAGGCTGGCCCATTCACAGCTGGAAAAGGGAAAAGAAGATAAGGCTTTTGGGCACAGGCAGGTGCTACTATCCCTGCCCTTAGTCCTGGGGCTTTGCTCCTGGGCTGTCTCTTGGCCATCTGGGCAGTTCCTGGTCCCTGCCATTTGCCAGTGGAATCTCTGCAGGCCCTAGTGTTGTCTGGAGCTGATTGGGGGCTGGCAGTTACTGCCAGGCTTGGCCTTGACAGCACTGGACACTGATTTACTAGTCTCCCTATCCTCCAGGAGCTTGGGCAAGCCTGAGAATCACCCTCTTTTTGGAGTGGAGTGGAGTCTAATCGTTTGCACTTTTGTTTTTCTGAACTCGTCCAATGCCTATAGGCAAAAATTCCTTTAGCTCCTAGTATACTTAAGAGGGTTTTTTTGTTTGTTTGTTTTTTGGAGACCCATGGTCCTGGGAGTGAAGAATCTAAGGCTGTTTCTTAGTTTCTTAAATTTCTGTCAAAACTCACACCGGCAAGAGAGGCTGCTAATACTCATATGTCACATATATGATATTCATTTTCATGCTCCCCTGGTTAAGTACCCCAGGTAGGGGCAGGTGCGGTTGGTGGTGAGGAAAGAATCTTTTATAAGTCTGTAAGCCTCTTCTCTGGGTAAACAGTAGGCAAGCATCTTGTCTGTCTTTAGGCTTCTGCAAGGTGTGAGGGTTGGAAATGTTCTCACTTCTGGAAAAGGCTTTAGAAGTTTTCCTTGGGCTGGGACATCTCCCTCTTAATTACTTCTCTGACCCACCCCCCCTTCCCCAATTACTCTTGATTTCACCTTTTATGGCTAAGAGGAATGATGCCTTTTCCCTAGAAACTTGGGTTTATACCTCCTTGGACTTGACCTGCTGCCTTTTGTCAGTAAGTGTATTAACCTTGTGCAGTTTTGAAAGATGTGTAACTATCACATTCTAGTATTAGCATGTATGGCCCATGAAGTGGTGACATTTTATTCACTTCATGCTTCGATCGCACCTTCACAGGAACTAGGATTTTCTAGGCGCTCTCTATATTGGATGCAAAGTCCCGAGAGAGGAAGATTTAATTTTTGTTTCCAGCGGAAGGGTTTGGAATTTGAGGCAGATAGTGGTTTGACAGGAGTCTACACCAATTTGTTAGTGAAGGGTGTTGAGTCCTGAAGGGATGAAGCTGACTTCAGTTTCCTGCAGCAGCATCTGACAATTTCTCCTGAAACAACTAGCTTCCCTCTCTGCTTTGTTGTTTAGAATAAGTTGGTGCTGCCTCTTTGTGGTTCTAGCAGCATTGTAGAAATAATAGTGAAAGCCAGCCACGCAGGTGTTTGCTAGGGAGCCTTGTCAGTATACTAATTTTTAAAAATGGTTTCTTGCCATATTTATGCTCTGTTCAACTTCTGTGGGATTTTTCCAAGACAGCACTTTATAGGTGATCCCATTATAAATTGCAATTGGGAATTAAGACAGACACTTAACATCTGCTGCTTTTAGATGTCTCGAGAAAGCAATGAATGCCCAGTTGAAATTTTTTTGTCTTCTCATTGAATGTGCATATAATGAAGAAATTTAAAATGTAGCCACTAGTTTTAACAGGAAAATGAGTTTACTGTCTTGGCCATTTTCTTGGGGGCCATATGATCACCAAGGATCATTTAGACACAGAGTTGAATGTGCATCCTTTTATTAGAGTGTGTAAGTTTGCTCCATATTATTTTTATAATCTTAGCTGATCAGCGAGAAGTGGTGCTATTGACATTTTGAGGTCCATGGTAATTTTTATTGAACATTCCAAACAGCCTTCCCTTTTATTTTCAGTAGGATTGTGGTTCAAACTCAAGTGTAAGGTCTTAATTGGGATAATCTCCCAGGCCACTTGTTTTTCTGCTGCTTGCCTTTCAACTACTTTACTTCAACTACTTTCACTCTTTATCTGAGTGTGCGCGCGTGTGTTTGTGTGTTTAAAGAATGAAATTTTGCAAGTTAGGTTTGCCTCTCAGTGGTACATGTAGAATTTTTTGCAGTTTGATAATCCTATGTATTTATAATTAAAAAAAAACAGTCTGGGCTGGCCGAGTGGCTCAGTTGGTTAAGAGCCCACTCAAGAGGGCAAGCTCTGAGCAACAGCGGTTTGAGTCCCAGCCGGAGCTGAGCTGCTGCTGAGCTGCCAACAGGTGGTAGGATGGCTCAGCTAAGAAAGAAAACAGTCTGAATGTCAACAATATGGAAATACCAGGCCAACCCCATGGCTCATAGCAGTACTTAAATATTTGTCCTCTGGGTGACCTGTGCATAATGCTTACAGGAGGGGATAATAGTTGCCCAGAAAGTAGGGAGGTCTGTGGCCTGCCCAACGAGAGGTCATCAATAACTACAGCTTCACAGCGGATCTGTGAACTGACAGGGTTGGAGAGAAGGTGAATTGAGTCAAATTTGGTGAAGTTACTTGAGTTTGTTTTTTAAAAACTAAGGCTTCAGCTCTGGAAAAACACCTTTGGCAGTTTCTCACAAAACTAACAGGAAACTGCCATATGACCCAGCAATTTGACTCTTAGGCATTTATCCCAAAGAAATGAACATGTATGTTCACACAAAAACTGATACACAAATACTCATAGCAGCTTTTGTTTGTAATAGCCAAGAATTGGAATGTCCTTCAGCAGGTGAATGGTTAAACAAATCAAGGTACATCCATACCATGGAATACAATTGGGTTGTCAGAAAAGTCATGACACATTTTTGCAATGAAAAACAGAAAAAATACGTCATGACTTTTCTGACAACCCAATACTTAGCAATAAAAAAGAACCAACTGTTGATACACAACTTGGATGAATCTTTAAGCAGTTATGCTGCATGAAACCAGCCAATCATGAAAGGTTACATATTCTACAATTCCCTTTGTATAACATCCTTGGAATTCCAAAATTACAGAAATGGTGAATGGGTTAGTATTTGTTAGGCATGCGGGGCAGTTGGAAGGTGAATGTGACTATATACAGGGTAACAGAAGGGATCCTTTTGACAATAGTCTGTATCAGTATCAGTATTGTGGTTATGATATTGTACTGTAGTTTGCAAAATGTTACCACTGGGAGAAACTGGGCGAAGAGTACACTTAATCTCTCTGTTATTTCTTACAACACAGGTGAAGCTACAATTATCTCAAAATGGCAAGTTTTCATTTAAAAAAGATACCCTTACCTACTAAAATAATTCAGATGTCTGAGTGTTAATGTTAATGTCCTTTGAGAGGCAGTCTTATTTTCTTCTTAACTAGGGGGAAAAACACTTTGAGAAAAGTAAAGAAGTTGAATTGTATGCTACATTAAAAAAATCCTCCAAGGCCCGGGGATAGATGTGGATGAGTTGCGTGTTCCCCCACCAGGTATGGAAGATTTGCTATGCTGGCTTCTCTCACCTCCTTGCTGCCTGAAGAACATGTTGGAAAGAAGGTTTGATAATTCCCTCTTGGAATCATGTTAAACCTTCTCCTGTGATATTATATCTTCTTGGAGGCAGATTTTAAAACATTTCTATTGGTTCATCCAAGAGTAATTGAAATTAGTCCTGTAATACATTGCAGATGTAGTTTTACAGTTGAAAAAGCATTTTCCCACATTGTCACCTTTAATACTTATTATTTGCAAGTATG